GGGCTGCTGGACTAACAAGGGCACTGACCGGCAGGAGGTCAGATACCCTGTTAGTCTGTTTGGAAAAGGGGAGAGATGTGACGAGACCAATCTCGCCACATTGCATTGGAGAAGCCTGGTTGCTCGCCTGCTGCCTTTGGACTATGGCCCCCTTTTAAAAGACTTTATTTTTGCCTGCAGAAAAGCTGTATTCGTGCTTTTCTGCCTGGGGTTCAGTAGATTTGTTTGAATGTGTTATACCCCAGATAGGAATCCCATGGAGCCCATTCGTATGAAACTGACTGTAAAGACTTTGGCTCCATGGCGATTAAACTGTATTCGTGTGGTCTGAGCGCCATTCACTTAATAATGTGCGCTCGGACCTGAGCTATCTGGGGATATGTTACATGTCTGTGTTTTATGTAATAAATGTGACTTTATGTATTTTAAAGTGTTTTGTGTCTCTTTGCAACCATGTGCTTAATGGAGTCTTGTGTCTGTCCTGGGAGATAATTGAATTACTTATCTCCAGGATAGAAGACTCTGAAACTGGTTTGGGCCAGAAAGCCATGCTTCATTTAGTCACAAAGGACTTTTTACTAACTTTTGAACCCCTTGTCTGATTTGTGCCATTTTTGAATATGTTGTTCCCCTGAATGGATTGATTGAGAATATGTAATTTTATGTGAATGTGATGTATGGTTTTGGAGTTATGAAAGTTGGGTAGAAAGTATGTTTTAACTGTTTGTATAATTGAGTTTCCTCTCAGGATAAGGGGAGGGAATATGTGGGATGTAACTGTGATATGATTGGTTGTTTTATCCCTCCCTGTGGGTGGTCCTGTATTTGAAACACTGTAATAAAAACCAGGCTGGGTGTGCCAGCACCTCAGACCACTGCTTGACCCTCAACACGGAGCCTTGTCTCGTTCTTGGGGGGATTCACTGTATGCTGTTGGAGACTGATTGCCAGGAGTGTAAGCCACTTGGGAGCTTTTCCTGTTCGTTTGCTGGCAGCTATTTGGGAGGTTCCAGTTCGGGAGTTGGAGTGCTATTTTGTATCCAGTTTGGGAGTTTGATGTTCTGCAGTAGCTGTGCCTGTATCTCTGGAAAGGGGGCCGATCGCCTAAACGGTTTTTACCCCTTGTGTGCAAAACGGTCCGTTACAAGTACCTAGTAACATCTCTATTGGTCACACATCTGATGGTCACTGTAGTTCAGAAGTAAAAAAAAACAACTTAATTTACTATTTAGAGATGTGAGAGAATGAGAAAGCCTTAGTTATTGATTCAAAAATATAGGAAATTTCCAGGGCAACAAAGATAGGCAGCTGGAAATTGTATGACACTAGTAATGGAAAACATGTAACATTTGTTGCTGTCTGAACTGATTCCAAACACCCAATGTTTTACTAAACACAAAATTACCAACACAGTTCCCGAACTTCTGTAAGCTCACAAAAGTTGTGTCTATAGTTTATTTAAAATGTCAGTTTTAAATGTTTGTTTAATATTCTACATATGTTGTATGTCTACACTGATGTCTATATTGTATATACATATTGACAGAAATCCTGGTATGCAGTGTCATTAATTGAGCACAAAAATCCTTTTTATTTCATGATTAGGGCTAACAGTCAGTTTTAGTAACATTTCAATTATAATCCCTGCATTGACAGATACTCATAAGAATAGATTATTTCTATGACTTAATTGTGTAATGTTTCTATATGCCCTTCAAAAATGCAGAGACACAAAGAAGAAAATCACTTGTCCTCTGATAATGAATGTCTGAAAACATGAGACAGTAATGCAAGCCAAAATAAATAATTTGGATCTTTTGCAAGAACATAAAAGAACCCAAGTAAGAATGTCTTATTTATGCCAGCGCTAATCAAACCTTCAGCACACCTGATAGCACTATTAATTAATGTGGGGAAGATACTGTCATTCATAACTTGTTCTAAGAAAAAAATGTCTAAAGAAACGTGTTCCATCCTTATTCTTAAAAATTCATGTTAGTAACTTAACAGTAGTGTTTAAAATATTATTTAAGACTTGTTTAAAATAGACACTTTTAGGTAATTCAAAAATGGCTTTTATATAAACATAACTTTTCCAGCTCTATAAAAACATTATAAAATCACATCATGCATATAGTCAAAAATACCAAATATATAACAAAGATAAACAAAACTGATTTCAATAAAACATATTAGCATAATTTGCAAATAATGTTTCTAGCTACCTATAACCCAAACACTTGATGCTATTTTATCTTTACTTTATTTGTCCAGTCAATTATATTAAGCTGTAATATTATGTCATCAGTTTGTGTTTTCATTTCCCACAAGACTGCATATTAACTCTAAACTCCACTTGCTCTACTTGTATAAGTCATTGAACAATAATTCTTTTGGTGGGCCCCATCTAGCACAAAGTTAGCCAAAATGAAGATCCTCAACTGTGCAAATCCAACAATGCTTTACCAGCTGGAGGTCTACCATTTATCCAACCTTCTAGAGTTGTATTTGTCAGCAGTGTTTGTGTATTTGAATATAAGAAACTTTTTGTATTGAGCGTGTGCGTGAATGTCCGAGTGTGTTTGTATTAACTACTGCCATTTGAATGCAGTGGTGTGTTTGTATGCAGTGTTGGTATCTAATGCATGTGTGTGTAGAGCTGGCTTCAAATGCCTTTGTATTTATGTGTAAATATAGCCATATCTTTGTGTGGATTATTAGTGTATGTGTGAATGCAGATGTGCGTTTGTGTATATAGCATTTAAATTTCCTTCTATATCTTATATTTCACTTCACTGTCCATATCCTTTCTAGCTTCTCTTTGAGCCCTTGATATTTGTCCATTTTCTTCTCCTGTTCCTTCTTCTTGATGTTATGTTCATTAGATATTGCCATACCTTTCACCACTACAGTTTTTCACTATGGTGGTTTGGTAGGGCAGTGATTGGTTATCTGTCTGCATCTAAAAGTCCCACAGGTTCTGAGTCCTGTCATTATTCCTGTCATTATCAACTACCCTTTGTGGTACCACCCACTTGGATTTAAACAGGTCCAGCCCATATTTGATGCAGTACACAATCCCAGTAATATCATTGTGACTCTCAATGTATGATGTCACTGCTAACATTCTGCACCCAGCTACTGTGTGCTGGATTGTCTCAGAGGCCTCTTTTTGACAGAATGTAGCTTGGGTAATTTTTGATGTGGTAGACTCCTCCTTCTATTGATCTGGTTCATGGGTGTCTGTTCCTGTGCTGCTTTGATTACAGCCTCAGTACTGTCTTATAGTCCTGTTTTTTCCAACCACTTATAGGATTTTGTATTGTAAGCCGCATCCACTATCTGCCAAAGGTATATCCTATGGAGAGGTTTATCATGCCATGTAACCTTCTTCTTATCTGTATTCTCTATCTGTTTTTGTCTCATGCATTCCCTTAGCAGGTCATCTTTGGAAGTTATCATCGTGATGCACTTGTTGTGGTTCATCCTGAATTGTTGCCTTAACACTCATCACGCCTCAATCACTTTCCTTCTGGCTGGAGTATAGTTTCTGGGTGCTGGATTTCAGGCTAAATCTAATTTCCTCTCTTGGCCAGGTTATTATACATTATAGCATGAATCTTGTTCTTTTCATTGAGGTGGTACTTTGGGATTTGTCTGACTCTGTGGAGGTACTTGTAAAATTGCTATCTGCCTGGCCTTTATATCATGGTTCCTATGTGTTTGTGGTATCCGAAGGTAATTGTAGTTTATTCTCTGTGTCTCCTATTTGGCTTTCTGGCACACCAGTTGTTCCAGGCCTGATCATCTCCCCCATTTTTGCTACCATAAGCTTACAATTATGTAGTTTAAAAGACCTTCTGATGACCTTGCTTTATATCCTAGCTTGGTGGATCAGTGAGTTGATATCTGGCTCATCCTTGGCATAAGAGGGGGTAGTTTATAGTACCGCCACTCTTGAACATGTATTAATAATCTGGCTGAGGGGGCTGAGAGTGGCCCAGATCATCACCTTGGTATATGCCACATTTGATGTTCACTTGTGTAATTGTCCTGAAATTTGCTTCTAGTATACTTCTCTATCATGCACAGAGTTCTTGATGAAGGTTCTTAGTTTCTTATTGATTTTGTGTAAAGACAAGAATGCCGATATCCATGTGTGCAGCATTGTATCATAGACTTTCCTTTTGTTAATCCAAGCTGTGCACAGTACTGTCTGGTTTGGGAATCTTGTTTGACTGCTGTGTCTACCAACAGAAGATGTTTTGAGCTTATGGTGTTATTTCAAATAAAATTTTCGTTACTGCTCATGTATTGACTCAAATGCACATCAGTCTTGAATTTTATAATGCCTGTGGTAGGGAGGCAACTGATTAATTACATAGTTACATAGCTGAAAGGAGACTTGCATCCATCAAGTTCAGCCTTCCTCACATTTGTTTTTTGCTGTTGATCCAAAAGAAGGCAAAAAAAAACCAATTTGAAGCACTTCCAATTTTGCAACAAACTAGGAAAAAAATTCCATGTTGACCCCAGAATGGCAGTCAGATTAATCCTTGGATCAATAAGCTATTACTCTATATTAAAAAATTATATCCTTGGGGGGCGGAGCTAGCGAGCAACCCAAGCAGACGTGTGAGCACTGAGAAATCCACTTACAAAGGACGAAATCAGCAGTTCCGTAAAGCCCAATAACTACCAACGCAGGTCAGAACACAATGGGACGCAAATCCAAGCAGCTCCATAATGAGGCGATGCCGTCGTCTCAAAATATAGGCTTTACTCAGAGCAACGCCGCGGCCGCGGCCTGCCAAGATGGCGCCCGTGCGGGAAGCCCCTGAACACTCCTCAGATGACCATATGGAGGAGGCCGCTGAAGCAAGGAGCACTAGAAGGGAGAGTACTCCACCTCCTGAACAAATGCCGGAAAGCAAAGCAGACATCATCCATCAGCTCAATCGGCAGCAGACGTGGCCCTAATCAGGGAAGATCTGGGTGCCATGACAGCCCGCATACAGGCTGTGGAGGTGAATGAAGCTGCTACAACAGCCAAAATTGAAACCCTGCAAAGGGAAATGGCCCAAATGAAGAAGACCAGCAATATATTGGAAAATAAAGTGGCAGCACTGGAAGACGCTAAGCGCCAGCGAAACCTCAGGATAAGGGTTATACCAGAGGCTGTGCAAGACCCTGAGGTCGCACACTACTTACGCCGATTACTAGCCTCCCTGCTACTACAAGCTAAAGCAAAATCCATCTTGCTGGAGTTTCACTTTCGCATACCTAAACCACCAAGAGCCCCAGCTGACGTCCCACGGGACCTACTTATCCGCTTTCAATCTCTCCGGGGCAAACTACTAGTACAAGAAGCAGCCCGAGAAACTAACACATATGAGTTTGAAGGTTCTGAGCTATCTTTCTATAATGACCTCTCTAGGGCAACAGTCACATGGTGACACTCCATGAAAGAAGTCACCCAACTACTGAGAGCCAAGGGGATACAATATAGATGCAGGCTCTCTGTCAGCAATGAAGGCAAAAGAGTACACATCACCCAAGCAAGTGACTCTGTAGCATTTCTGCAAAACTTGCGAATATCCCTGGAGGCCACTACAAGCACTACCTCCGCAGCAAAGACACCAGCGAACATATCCAGGATATGGGACGTCAAGAGAATCCAACCTTTTTTCCCAAGAACGAGCGGTGCTGCGGACACCCCTCAGCCGAAAACCTGAATATCGCAAGTACATTATAACTTGGACTGCGTGTCACAGATGTATGCCCCTTAGGCTATCATACTCAGACATTGCTCTATGTCCGATCCCACTTTAACAATCTTTCTCCAGCGGGCCCGCCGCCCAATAGACCATCCACGAACCGCATTGCCATATACCTCCCAGTTTGCTCATACCCCCCCAAAAGAAAAACTATCTCCTACAAGCAAATGTTAATGTTTCTTACTAATACTATGCAACCACGAACTAAAAATCTTATGTATAACTATTTGTATATCACTGTACCTATGCTTTGCCTAGACTGTTATGTCTACCTGTTACCTGTGACACTGTATGCAAAGGTTGCATTTAAAATGTAGCAAAACTATGAAAGATGATAACTGTACACATGTTATGCTACAATAAAAATTATAAATTAAAAAAATATATATATATCCTTGAATATTCTGTTTTTGCAAATATGCATCTAGTTGCTGTTTGAACATCTGTATGGACTCTGATGGTGTTGTTCCCTTCTGAGTGTCCTTCATGACCTGCAATGTTCTGATTTGTGTTAGCCAGCCAAAATGGAAGACTGCTGCTAGTGGCTGGTTCATCTGTGCTGCTAGACATTATTAGTTAGTACTGCTATATCATTGTTGCAGAACTGTTTGCTTCTTTAGCCAGTAAGTGTGGATCATGCCAGGTCCTGGTGCTGACCATTACCTCATGTGGGTCATCCGTTGTTGGATATCTCCTTTTGCGACGATGACAGGATCCAGTTCTTGGAGCATACAGTGGTCTGCTTACGGGTCTATTAGTTATTGATGCTTGCTTCTCCAAGATGATCTTCCAGTACTGCTCATTCTCAGCTCTGGGTGGCTATAGGGCGGATATGTTGTTACACTGAAACTGTGTGTATACCTTGGATGGTTACTGGTAAACCTGGTAAACAGTGTATTTAATCTCTTAGCCTCTGCTTATCTGGTGTATCTGCTCAGTTTGGCAGTTTGACAGTTTCCAGAGCCTCTTATATGGCCATACCCTTGTAGTTCCTCAGTAGTCAGCTCTGTCAAGTTTATCCAGCTTACTAATTTCCATACATGTTGACTTTATCTTGGATTTCAGTTTTAGTCTTCATGGCAAGTACTGTTTCACTTTCAACCTTATCTTGTAGTCAAACATTTGAGGGACCAGTAATGCTGTGGCATGTATGAGCTTGTTGGTCTTTGTGACAGTGTTGGTTGGGACTGTAGATAGCCACTAGCATGCTATCTGGTGGTATTGTTCATGGCTCATGCATGTTCTTTTGTGTAGTCTGTATAATTTCAGGTGTGAAAAGGATAAATGCCACTACACATCATATATAATAAAATATAAAAAATATATCTTTATTCCATCAAAATAGAGATATTAACACTTAATTCTTATTGCACAAGGAGAATAAGTATATTAGTGTACATGCAAAGACAAAAAGAGGCAACACATCTACATATAATACCTTAAGGAAATAACAGGAGTCACTGAGCAAACACCTAATGTTTTGACTACAGAATTTTTCTCAAGGGTCACTCTTGTGTAGCCTGTTCATAAGGTTGCTACACTAATTTTGCACTTTACATCTGGTTGCTTATTTGCATTATTTTAGTTGTGTGCTCCTAATATCTTCCGGTTCCTAATAATTCCGGTTGTCACACTTGTTTCCTCATGATGTTCAAATGTTGTGAATCTAGCTCATTTGGTGTAGATCAGGGGTAGGCAACCTACGGCACTAGTGCCATGCACGGCACTCAAGGTGTCTTTGCACGGCACTCAAGGCTTCTAGAGCCAAATCAGGAGTCCCAGTAAAATTTCCGATATCTGCTAATATGAAAAGATGGTGAAGGACAATCCTCAATTTATGCATTGCAGCACATAGAGTAAGTGATCTCAGATCCCTTCCTCCCAGCACTTGTGAATGGGAACCCACACTGTAGTAGAGCAGCCCACAGCTGCTATTGCAGCTCCTGTCCTTGACCTGTATCTGTCCAGCCTGGTCCCCACTGGAATCCGGGGAAGCCACCAGCACTGCTAGATGTACACAGAAATGCAAAATAACCCTCCCCTCACACAAACAATACAAACAGCCCACAAACAAACATACACACAATCCGCACAAACGTAACCCGCTAACAATCCACATACGTGCACACAACCCAACATGCAGCCTCTCACATGCAATACCCCAAACAGCCCCACATACACACACTACCAAACACACAATGTGACATATCCATCCACACACACAATTCCACAAGCAGCCCTCATTCACAGCCCACATTCATAGGTATCATACACAATACCACAAACTACTAATGAACATATCCAATATAATAGCTCATATACGCACAAATACAATGATACAAAGCAATTACAGTAAAAATAACACAAGCAGAATACAGCAGCATACACACCTCAATTTAAAAAAATAGGACCGGCACGCTACGGGACATCTCAATCCTATATCGGCACAGTGCTGCTAAAAGGTTGCCTACCCCTGGTGTAGATGATGGTTTTTTGTTCATAAATAGTTGCCACATATGTTTCCTGAAGCCCCTCTTCTTGGGTGTTCTTTTGTAGCAACAATCAAGCAAGCCTAGGTTCTCATCTTGTGTATATGAACGGTATGTTCCAACAGCCCACTTGTCATTAGATAGCCTTGGTTTCCTAATTAAACACACTGATATATACATACATACAGATATACATTTTTACATAGAAGGCTCACTTCTCCACCCCTATTACTTACATAGTTCAAGTAGAGATTGTAGCCGTATTAGTCCAGTGATGTAGATGTAAAAAAACAGATACAATTTGTATCTTGTAATACCTTTTTTATTGGACTAACAGAATTTTTTAATGACAAGCTTTCGAGAGAACCTCTCTTTCTCAAGTCTGAAGCATTTCTGAGCAAGACGACACATAGAATTCAAAGTTGAGTTGTGATACAGGGGTTAAAGCGACATGAGTGCATATAAGATAGGTTTGATAGAACTTAGACACCATTCTTGCAGAGGGTCGTAAAATATCTTATGCGAAGATCACAGAGTGAGGGGGGAAAGAGAGAAAAAAAACAAGCAAACAGTGCAGAAGATGGTGCTACAAGGGGGGATTATTATTATAAAGAATGTATGAATTCCCATCCAAGAGATATAGGATATGCATGAAGGCCTATACACAGACACACGTACAGACTCACACTCAAGTACATATACATATACACAAGTAGTGCATATGTACAAGTATACACAAGAACATACACACTATACACACTATACATACAATATACATATAAATACAACCAAATGCCCAAATATATGTACATGCACACCTACACGTACATCCACAAAAAAGTACCAATACATGTACCTACACATATACCAATGTGCCTACACATACATAGAGCCATATATATGTATATGTAAGCATACACTTATTCACATATTCATACATGTATGCATGTATGCATGTATATATATATATATATATATATACACTTTATACATACACACACACACATACATATATGCACATGAACTCATATACACAAATATAAATTCACAGTCACATATATAAGCATACATGCATAAGAGAATGGGAAAGCATAGGTCTACACACAGTACTTTGTATATAAAAATAATGATCAATGATAGCACTCCAAGGACTTTAAATAAAATTTAACTTTTATTACCTTCACTAAAACAGTACAGTCAACGTTTCTGCTTGATCCCCTCAAGCTTTCATCAGGACATACTGAAAATACAAACCAACCCCACATATATAGCATAAATGATGACATCCACTTACCCCACCTGTGGTGTATCTGACTTCATGGACGCTCGGACCGAGACTGCCGCGGGCTGCCCGGCAAACCTCCGCAGCCACGTGGCGTCACGCTCAGTGACGCGGCCAGAGGTCATCACCATGGATACCAATAAACAAATACACAATGTGCATATCTTCCGACACGTAAGAATAAAAACAATGTTGCTAAATCGTCTAGCAGCCGGTGAATGTAACTTGATACCTTAATTCTGTATATGTGAAGTTACGCAAAAATGGCAAGCTAAACTTTTAAAGCTAGGAAACCACAAACTCGGAAAAAAAACTAATAAATCAATAAACAAAACAAAAAAAGAGAGAAAAGCAAAAAAAAATTTTTGGGAAACTAATGTCTCAGGTAACAATAATGATATTAATAGATGTAGTAGATCCTAATGAAACACACCTCATATGATTCTAATATAGTACTTTGTATATAGATAGAATAAACATATTGGAATGCATTTTAAAATGTTGATACATATGACAGAACAGTAAGATAATGCTGAGGGGAGTGTTCATGTAAAGTGTTGGTAGTGGGACAGGAAACATTCTGATTTCATAAGTTTTTCTTTCTTGGTTATTTCTCAACACAAACACCTATTTTTGCTGAATAGATTTTTGTTAGTTTACACAAGAAACAATAATTAATACACCGTATATTATTGTAATTAAAAAAAAACAAAAGTAGCCTACCATCATCAATGCCATGTACCGATCTCTAGCATAAATTAAGGAAGGGTAGAGTAAGGGTTCCTGTTCCCCAATTTAAAACTAGCATCGGTGCCATGGATTTTGAGATTTGGAACACCTCTTTCTCAGAAATGATGACCGCATACACCTTCACCACCACAACCACCATTACTAAAAAGTGTTCAGCC